ACTTTTTTCCAGGTGTATAGTTAAACCTAATCGAACAGTACAGAACAAAGGATGACCTAAGAACGAAACTGAACAATAAATAGGCACAATACCCGATTCAATGATTCCACCCAAAACAAGTGAAGAAAAATATGATTAACGAAATGAAATATAAATGATAATATAAAAGTAAAGCAATAACACAGTTAAACTAATGAAGGACATACCATGTTAAGCCTAATCGATTGGTATAGAAGAAAAACAACAAAGACTAATTACGATTCATAATGTAACTTAATATTAACTAATCTAAATAAGCACATGTCATAGAATTCAAATAATTACAGAAAATAATACTAACATAAAATTGTAAAACATCTTATCTTTCCAAAGTCGGCAGACTATGGCAAATGGTGGACCATGAACTACAAGGTGAGGTCTGACAAAAGTCTGGACATTAGACAATCAAACTTCCCAACGAAATAGGGCAGAACTGTTTGCGGAGTAAGGTGAATGAAAGCCATTATAAACATGCGAAAAGAACATCGAGTCTCCATAGTGAAAATGGATACTGCATAATGGAAATGAAGAACCAAACACTTGAAATCTGGTGGTGGAAAATGGCAATCAAGATCTCCATCCTCCCAAACAGGGTCGGTGTGTAGAGGAGGAATTGTGAGCGAGAACCAAAAAATGAGGGTGACCTTTTTAACGTTCAATCTCTCGAAGGATAAACACCGATACAAACCCACACAGCTTCGCCACACCTGCAGCCCGTGAGATAGCACTAGTTGTAGGCATGATCCCCAAAGTGATAACATTAGCATTAGAATGTGACTGTAATAAATGAAGGCAAATTTTAAACTCCAGAAAATCTGGAAGTTATAATAAATGACAAACACTTCGTGAGTCTACTAAATATGAACATGAAACAGTAAAGAATGACAAAAAAAAAAAACTGTCAGAGTGCGAGTGCTGCCAAACGAGAAGTAATAGTTTGGTAGAGGCACATAGAGGGAGTCATATTCGTTATATGAGTGAACTATGCTCCTATTGGTGGAGAGGTGATGCATAATGCTTTACATGAAAGATGTTGGTATCAACTGATTCCAACAGGAGGGAAAGCATAAGGCTTGCGCCACGCGTGAATAAAAAGTTCACATATAGGGGCAACAATGAATGAAAATAGCTAATCTTGTGAGAGGAAGGAAGTACCGTATTGGAAAGGAATACCTACATGGGCCAAATGATCCCTTGTTGTTCATTAATGTTATACAGTATGTTAGAAAACCCAATTTTTAGCATTATATGCTTATTGCTGAGGTATGGGGTTGTTTATTCTCTGAGGTATATTTAAGCTATAGTTACTTACAAACTGTTTTCCAGAATCTCCACAACTGATAGGTTCCTACCCAGTGTGTAATCTTTTACATTTTTTTCAAGTAACTACTTTTTACAAATTGTTTTTTACTAATTCCACACCAGAACTGTAAGGTTTCGCCTCAGTGCGTGCTATTTGATAATTGTATATGTTACAGGCTGATACAAACTGTTTTGCATACAATATACGATTATAAGGTTTCCAACTAGTGTGTTATTTGATGTATTTTTAATTCAGTTTGTTCCAAATTGTTTTCCACAAACTCCACAAGTGTGTGTCTTCTTTGATGTATTTTTAAAGCACTCATTTTACAGAAGTTTTTTCCACACACTGTACAACTGTAAGGTTTCTTCCCAGTTTGTACTTTTTTATGTCTTTTTAATTCACTGTTTGTTTTGAACTGTTTTCCACAATCTGTACAACTGTAAGGTTTCTCATCAGTGTGTATTCTTTGATGTGTCTTTAAGTGAGTATTTCTACGAAAGTTTTTTCCACACAGTGTACAACTGTAAGGATACTCCCCAGTGTGTATTCTTTGATGTGTTTTTAAGCAACTATTTGTTCGAAACTGTTTTCCACATACTGTACAAATGTAAGATTTCTCCCCAGTGTGTATTGTTTGATGTGTTTTTAATTCACTGTTTGTTTTAAACAGTTTTTTACAAGCTGCACAATTGTAAGGTTTCTCCCCAGTGTGTCTTCTTTGGTGATTTTTCAAATTACCGTTTGTTGTAAATTGTTTTCCACACACTGTACAACTGTAAGGTTTCTCACCAGTGTGTCTTCTTCGATGTGTTTTTAATTTACTGCTTGTTCCAAAATGTTTTCCACAATCTGTACAACAGTAATGTTTCTCCCCAGTGTGTATTCTTTCATGTAGTTTTAATTTACTCTTTGTTCCAAACAGTTTTTCACACACTGTACAACTGTATGGTTTCTCACCAGTGTGTATTCTTTGATGTCCTTTTAAGTGACTATATGCAACAAATTGTTTTCCACACACTGTACAACTGTAAGGTTTCTCCCCAGTATGTACTTTTTGATGTTGTTTTAATAGACTATTTGAAACAAACTGTTTTCCACACACTGTACAACTGTAAGGTTTCTCCCCAGTGTGTATTCTTTGATGTATTTTTAAGTTAACCTATTTCGTTATCGAAAGTGTTTCCACAAACTGTACAACTGTAAGGTTTCTCCCCAGTGTGTATTCTTTGATGTATTTTTAAGTTACCATTTGTTCGGAAGTGTTTTCCACAAATTGTACAATTGTGAGGTTTCTCCCCAGTGTGTATTCTTTGATGTTGTTTTAAATGCCTATTTCTCTTAAAGTATTTTCTACAAACAGCACAGTGATATGGTTTCTCCCCAGAATGTATCCTCTTTTGTTGTTTTAGGTTATCAAGTGTTTTTCCACAACTGTATAATGTATCATCACACTGATGTATATTAAATGTTGTTAGGTTATTTCTACTTAACTTTGTTTCTCCACAAATATTGTTGTTTGGGGATTTTACATTTTCTGTAAAGTGATCTTCTTGTTTTACAACATGATAACCAAGAACCTGACTTCCACAACAGATGTTCACACTGGTCTTTATATCTAAAACAGATATAATGATGTCACAAATTTGATAATAATAAATATATAATACAATACTTTATTTGAAGAACATCTAAATATATTTTAAAGTTCTAATATGATTAACACAAATACCAATATTAAAATATTAAAAATAAAACTAAGTTTAACTCTCTATAAAAGCTTTTCTACCTATATGAGAACAGAGCTGAAAATATACCATTGGTACCACGTTCAAGAGATTTTTAGTAAATAAAATCTAAAAACCATCTGTAGAAATATGATAGTACAATGAAACACCAACAAATGTTACTTTCAGCCAGTACCTTCCTGGATTAACTGTTAGATATTTTCTAATTTGAAGTGGGTGATTATCCTAAAATCTTCCAATGATTTGTCTACTTTAACATGTTAACTAACATCAATACTTTATAGTTCCTCTTTAAAATCTTGGCATATAGAAAAAACTAAAATGTATATCTATATATTATTTATCAAGTTTAGGTACCATTTCTGTGATTAAAAGCTGCTTGATTACTGACTTCAACATGTTAAATTAAGAGATTAAAGATTTGGGATCATTCAAGTCTCAGGATAATTACATCTGTGGTAATAAATGACAGCAGTACATTCTCTGAACATGAAGAATCAGGGAGAAAACAAACATTGGTCAGTTAGAAAGTTTCTCAACTCTTTCAGCATGGGCCTCGGTCCCTGGAACTAACGTCATAACTATTTTATGCTTGTTATAGTTTTCATGCTATAACTTTTAAATTAGTAAGTATATGTTCAGGAATTTTGGCAGATTATCAATAAACATAACAAGGCTTTCATATGTGAAATATCAGATTTGTTTATTAAGTTTGTTAAGCAATGCTCCGTATCCACTGTAAGATTAAAAAATACTTCCAAAAATTTTCACATTTCACATGTGAAATCTTTAAAACATCAAAAAGTTATCAAAAGTTTCTTAAAAAAAACCTTTATCTGTTATTTTCATTACCAAATCTCTGTATGTGTTCGTTCCATTTGACCAATCTTGTAACCACCAGTAAAAATTAGGAAATAAAATATAATTATGCCTTTTTTATTCCAGAATGACTACAAATTATAACACAAAAACAAAAATTTTTAAACTGAATACCTTAAATCTCATAACATTATACCTTTATATGTACTTATTTACATTTATATTGACCATTTAGCCATGCCTGGCTAACAATATAAAAGTTACAAAGACACAGCACACGTGCATTCAATAATATAAAATTGATCTTTAGTCTTTACAAAGTAACTTGTTTTGACTGTGTTTTAGTAGACTAGTATTTTGTGAAATATAGTCACATTTCAATTATTATACATTATACATGTATATAGATTATTGCTATTTTGAAATAAGTTTTTAAACTTATTTTTTTAAAGCATAGAACAGTAAATAAAGAAGTAAAGCAAACAGTTATCTCTTCTAGTTACAACCTTTGTACTCGGTTGCTACTTGACATAGGTTGCTAAGCCTTATACAATTTTGCATGTGGAGGATGTGAAATGAAATAATATTTTTTAGGTTTGATATATACAGACGAATAACCAAAAAATCATAAATTACTATATCAATAACATAGGTCTAAAAAATATGAAATTTCGAGCAGACTAAAGATTCAATTTACCAGCTGAAAGTTTTGTTTTGAAAAAATGAGATGACATCAGAATACATAAAAATGGCTGAGAAAGCCACTAAGGGGGCATTCTGAAGTTTGATTATTCACATGTCATATACAGAAATAAGTGTAGAAAAAGGGGCATTTCCAAAAATGGAAAGAGGTGAACAGGGCCACTTTATTTGATTCGGTACATAAATTATATCTCAAAAATAGAAATGATAGGAGGTTCTTGTTTTATAATCTAGCTTGTCAATATCGGTAATTTGAATTCCTAATTCACACAAAATTAGACTTTGTACTTTGACATCACAAACATCTAATTTGAACCAGTGCTGTATTCAACATACCATGTGACACACAAAAATCAATGTGTAGGTGCTTTTTTAATATATACTTTAAAATTAAGATATTAAATAATGTATAATACTAAAATTGGAATTATAATCTACAGTTTGACATGAAACTTACTGATATAAATTCATAAAATAGTTGTTCAAAAAAATTTTGAATGCGAGTCAACAAACACGCTGACATGGCTTTGATCCATGAGTAGAGGATTAATGTTTCATTCTATTCGTTTTTTATAATTTGTTAAAATGTTTTGCTATTCTTGTTTAACTTCAAAATGTTTCACAAAATAAATTCCAAACAGAAGTAACAAAAAACATACCAAACACAGATCTATACATTTGAAATTAATACTATCTCATATGGTTCAATAAATCTTAAAAAATTACCACGAATTCAACCAATTCTTTTGACCCTCTCGTTATGGTTAGGTCAAAGTGAATGTCACAACTTCTTATATGGGTACATTCATAACTGGGCATCAAAACATAGTTAAGAAATCAATCTGTAATATTATGTAATTTTAAGCTCATAATTTTATAAGGAAATATTTTTAATAATCTTCAATCTTCTCTAGTATGAGAGCTGCAACATCTGTTCACTAGGTCTTCTCTAATTTATTTATCACTCCTCTGAGAGGTATAAATTTAACATAAGTATATCATTATAATACAGGTATTATTAAGGTAAAGTCTAATGTAAAAAACCTTCAATGTTATTTGTTTACAGAATCATAATCTAGAAAATCACACCCACATCTTATCTTTCACATACTGTAAAGTCATCTCTCTACATATCATATTATATTGCTTATAACCAATAGAAACCAAATGTTTTAATAAATCAAATGATGTATTATATTGCATTGTTTATAATCAATAGAAAGCTAATGTTTTAATATATCAAATGATGTATTATATTACATTGTTTATAACCAACAGAAAGCTAATGTTTTAAACTATCAAATGATGTATTATATTACATTGTTTATAATCAATAGAAAGCTATAGTTTTGGTAAGAGTTCCATATGGTACCCCCACTCAATTTAAAAAAAAAATTCATCAAAGTGATA